CGCGGCGCGCGCTCGGAGGTCCAGTTAACCGCCCGCGACCCGACTTTCCCCACCAGTCCCACTCCTGTGTCGGGGCTCCAGGCCTTGCACGTTAGCCTCCCTTTTCTGCAGCTGCACAGCCGACGGGACGAGAGAGGTAAAGAGGTGGCGCTGGTCAGTGGGGTGGTGGGGCTGGGCAGAGGGGTGGTGGGGCTGGCAGAGGGGTGGTGGGCCTGGGCAGAGGGGTGGTGGGCCTGGGCAGAGGGGTGGTGGGGCTGGCAGAGGGGTGGTGGGCCTGGGCAGAGGGGTGGTGGCGCTGGGAAGTGGGTGCTGGGAGAGGGCCTGGAGTTAGTGCTGGGAGGAGTCTGCTAAGTGCAATCGATTATTTACTATATAATGTACAGGTAATAAAAGGCAATAATAAAGCTAAGGAAACAATCACGAAAAACGCATTCAACTTAGGTCAAAACCTACTTCTAAGGGAGTCACGGGAAGAGAACTCTGGTTAATTTGAATGCTACTTAAAGCTACTTTCCTTTAAAAGCTTACCTTTAAGTAAAGGTATCGCTGCCCATCATGGTTCCTGGCAGACATTTTGTCACCTTGTACAGTGACACATCCAGGGTTGCTTGACTACCTTACTGTTCCCCAGTTCATCTGCCGCTGCCTCCTGAGATGCAACGCTGACAGCGTGACCACTAATGTCTTGTGTCATAGCAATGGGCATCCTACCCTAATGTCACATCTGACTTCCTCGCCTGTATATTCATCCCTCCCTCCCTCCCCTACCAGCCATAATGTTCCTCAACCCACTTCCCAGCCCCCTGTGCCAACTCTGGTGGGAGAAGATGGAGATGGGATTGAGCTAATATGTGAACAGTGCTCAGGAGAGGGTCATAAGATTGGACTCTGGATACTGGTAGAAACAGAATGAAGACATCTTTACAGAGTTTGCCTGTTCATTGAAACATGAATCCAGGTGGAAGATGGACGAACCCACAAGCTTTCGAGGCTTTCTGGTTCCTAACTGCTTATAATTTGGCTCACTTCAGGTGACGAGGCCACCTGCCTCCTAAGGGGCAGGGATCAAAAGTTGGATTCTCATAGAAGAGAAAAATCATCCAACTGAACTTCTTCCCTAATGCTGGGGGAAAACATTCTCACCCAGATAAGTCATTGAGTCCCTGCTCCAGAGTAAACACCTTCCTACAAGTACCGTATATGTAATAAAATATAAAGTCGAACCCAGTGTTGGTGAGTGCATTCCAACTCATAGTGATCCCATGGGACAGAGTAGAAATGCTTCAGAAGGTTTCCAAATGTAAATATTGCAGAAGCAGTCACACCCACCTATGAGTGACTAGTAGGTTCAGAAGGTTGGTAGATGAGCATTTTAACCATTATGCCACCAGGGCTCATTTAAAGTCAGTATGTAAACCAAAAAACAAACTTACTGCCATTGAGTCAGTGCTGACTCAGTGACCCCCTGTGGGTTTCTGAGACTATAACTGTTGAAGCCCAGTCAACATCTATAGTTGCTAATAATTGTTAAACCAGTTTATTATATGGTGGTAGCACGTACACCTGCTAACTGTCTTTCTGTTGGATTCCTTGCAGTGGTGGGTGGGTTCCGGTGGGTATGAGGACTGAGAAACTAACTTACCTAGGGATGAGAATGTTGCCATTTTAAATAGAGTCAGGGACTGGCCTATTTCTTTGCAAATCTTGTGGCTGCATTTCCAGTTACTTTGAGGGATCCCTTGAGGTAGGTTTTGATCACTTAACCCTCTGCCACCTGTTATTTGGAGATACAGTATGTTTAGGGAATTAATTATGTATAACTGTTTTTGAAAGATTCTAGTCATTGCTGAGTATTTAAATAGGGTACGTAAATTTATCAGCTCCCTTTAAAAAAAGTCATTGGTTGGATTGAGCTCAATAGCATACTCTAGTATAGATCCACGAGTGTGTTATTTCCAACAGATCCATATGTCCAAATGCACACACAGAGAAATGTGTGAGTCAGCTGATTTAAAGAATGTTCTCTAGGCTACTCTAGTGAAGCAGGAACAGCACCAGACTTGACTCTGAAGAGGAGGTGGAGACCACCACGCCCCTTACATTAACTGCCCTTTGAGAGAATGAGGGAAAAGTGACAGGGAGCTAGGTTAGGCTTTATTAATACCTTGACTTGATTTATTGGTATTTTGAACTCCTTTTGCATCCCTGAGAAAAATATGTTAAACTAGGGATCTATAGGACTGGAATTGATTGCTTCTTAGATATGAATGGGATTGAATCTGCATGTGGCATGTGCTGGGCTGGGGTTGGGAGAAGCCTCCGTTTTTAACGAGACGGCGAGGTAAGAAACGACAGAGTAGATCAGTGGTTCTCAACCTTTCTAATGCCGCGACCCATTAATACAGTTCCTCATGTTGTGGTGACCTCCAACCATAAAATTATATTCGTTGCTACTTCATAACTGTAAGTTTGCCACTGTTATAAATCGTAATGTAAACATCTGATATGCAGGATATATTAGGCAAGCCCTGTGAAAGGGTCATTCGACCCCCAGGTTGAGAACTGCTGGTGTTGATTGATGGCTAGCAGTCACATTTGGCAGTGCAGAAAGGAAAAAGGTTGAATTGGGTCAAGGAAAAGATGGAAAATAGCAAGATGGGGCTAGATGTGGAGATTAGGTATAATCTGGAGGTAACTGTCAAATCAAGCAATCAAAAATCCCCAAATTTCAAACTAATGCAGGTATTTTCTCTCCCATCCCCTAGTTAAACAATGGCAGAGATGGCCCTGTCAGAGGCTGGGGCCTGTGCCGCCTCCACAGCTGCCGCTCTGGAGAACTTGCAGGTGGAGGCCAGCTGCTCCGTGTGCCTTGAGTACTTGAAGGAGCCCGTCATCATTGAGTGCGGTCACAACTTCTGCAAAGCCTGCATCACCCGCTGGTGGGAGGACCTGGAGAGGGACTTCCCGTGCCCCGTGTGTCGAAAGACATCCCGATACCCCAGTCTCCGGCCTAATCGGCAACTGGGCAGCATGGTGGAAATTGCCAAGCAGCTCCAGGCCGTCAAGAGGAAGATCCGGGATGAGAGCCTCTGCCCCCAGCACAATGAGGCCCTCAGTCTTTTCTGCTATGAAGACCAAGAGCTTGTGTGCTTGGTATGTGCCATTTCCCACACCCACCGGGTGCACATCGTCGTGCCACTGGACAACGCCACACAGGAGTACAAGGTGGGGAGCTAGGGAGTGGAGTCGCAGTGGAGGGGAGCATCTGCGTCTGGTCTTCTCTGTGATGTTCTCAGAGCGGCACACACCCGGGGCAGGCAGTACTGACCAAATGAGTTAATTGCCCTCAAGTCAGAAGAAGAGCAGTGGTGTCGGGCACCAAACATCTCTCTCTCGACTTTTGTAACAGCTGAGTGTGAATGTTTGGGTGATATTGAAGTGTGTCATGTGCTTCATCAATGAATGGGACTGCAAGAAGATCTAACTTGGGAATAGTGAAACGGTGGTCTGGTTGCTTATGTCCCCTTGTTGAGAACATCCCTTATGGTACTGTTGGTACTGGGACCGAGAGAAAGGTGACAGGGAACCAAGGTTAGGTTTTATTAATACCTTGATTTTCCTGGCACTTTGCACTTTCCAAAACTCCTTTCTGGTCCATGAGTAAAAAAGTGTTAAAGAAGTAGAGGTACGTAGGTCTGGAACGGGTTGGTTCTCAGATATAAATGAGATGGTAATAAACAACCCTTCTGTAGACGCATGCACCGGTCTCAGCTGAAGTGCTGTTTGCACCTTTCCTAGGTAATGGATAACTTTTAACTTTCGGTGGCAAAGGGTAGACAAGTCAAGATTGTATTACCTTTCTTGGTGGCTAGGATTTGATGGAGCTCTAGTGGGCCTACGGCTGCTAACCTTCAGGTCAGTGACTCAAAACCACCAGTCGCTCCCAGGGAGAGAGGTGAGGCTGCCTGCTCTTGTAAACATTTACAGTCTCTCCAAAGACACAGGGATGCTATGAATCCTGAGCAGCTCAGAGGCAATGGGTTTAGATAGAGTTAGATGGAAGGATAGGTTTGAAGAAGTCCATCAGGGTACAAGGAGGTCACTGACAGTAAGAGAAAGTTACCTGAGCAAGAAAATCGACAAGGTTGGGATGTACACTGAGTTGATGTCTATTAAACAGCCGTGGGGTTCAGTGAGGAAAAAATTGGGTGAACCGAGGTAACTAGAACAGGCTGGTTGGTGGTAGGAGAAGGGGGCCACCAGTAAGAAGTTCACATCCCAAATGACAGGCAAGGAAAAACGTTTTCCCTAGAGGTGGTGAGATGGGTACTATGCAGAAAAATGTGTTGACCTGAATTGAAGCAGGTGCCAGAACCCTCAATCCTCTCCACCCCCAGGAGAAGCTGCAAAAGTGCCTGAGCCCCCTGGAGCAGAAGCTGCAGGATATCACCCACTGCAAGTCCTCTGAGGAGAAGAAGCCCGGAGAGCTCAAGGTACCGGCACACTGCTTAATTCGGGCTGCTCCACAGGTGTTTCCGTTGTGGGGAATGAACCACAGGCCAGTTCTGATTCGCTAGAAAAATGCTGTGCTCTTAAAATGCATGGTACTTGATGATGCCATGAGACACGGGTCACGGGTTAAATATTGAGAAGAGGAATGTAAGAGATGAAGAACTGACAACATCTTGCCCCGGGTGAGTGGAGGAAATTTTTGTTCATTGGTTCCATTTGTCTGTGTCTAGCTGGGAGGAAAGCTCTTTGTTAAGAAGACCAGGACAGGAGTTTCTTAGAGGGACTGAAGAGAGGGGAATGGACAAGAGTCCTTGAGCAGGAGGGAGAAGAGGTCCTAGGAGCACTGCCTCATGATGCTAGGGCCAGGTTCTCTTGATTCAAGTAAGCTCAAGTCTCCTAACTGATAGCGGTTCTTCCTGGAAAGTTTAATTTTCATGCTATTTTGAATCAAACTTAGAGCATTGTATTTCAGTTTCTGCCTTATTTCTTCTATTGGACAAGAAGCAGTTGGTAGTAATATAAACCCTGGAGGACAGACTGGGTCTGCTCCATGAGGCTGGAATAAGCTAGAGAGCATTGGGTTAGGTTTGTGTTTCCTGGTTTCAAGAGAGCATGTTGTGAGTTTTGAGCAACTCAATTTACAGGAAAATTCTGGGACCCGTTCCAAAGGTGAGAACTATCAGTTCTCTGAAGTGACTTGAAGGTATTTAACAAGCTCACCCAGAACACTGTTCATATATTTTTTCTAAGACATGTCGCGTATTCATTTTTCTTTCTTCACGTATTCATTTTAAACAGACTGATCAGATAAAGTTATGTACATATGCAAAAATATCTATATGAGGATGGGGAAATAGATCTATGTGCCTATATTTATAGGTTTAGTATTAAGGTAGCAGAAGGACATTGGGCCTCCACTCAAGTACTCC